CCAGGCGCACTTATTATGAAGGCGGCGTCAGACTTTTATCAGCCTTCTCTGATCCGATCATGACTTTATCCAGCCTTCAAAGACCTCTTAGAGACCATGATTACTCGGACACTCTTTAGTGTGTAAAAGCAAATGGAGCGTGCACAAAAGGGTCAGCTATTTTAGGACGCATTTTCTTGAAAGGCCACTCCCGAGAGCACGGCCGAGACTTTTCAAACCCCGGCACCTCTTTTGAGCCAATGACAAGTATCCAGTGCATCTGGGCGCACTCGACTGCTCTCAGAAACCCGAACGACAGAAGCTGCAACTTCACATCAAGGCTGCATCAGTCACCTCACGTCAAACTTGAAGGGCACGATTGGACACAAGCGACAAGCCGAAAAACACATTAGCATAATGTTTACATAAATGAATACGTAAACACAGTGGCAAGATAATCAGCATGGCACATTTAAATGCTGCAGCCAGCCGTACTCGTCGTACTGCCTGAGAAGCAGCGATAGGAGAGGAAATACATGTCAAACACGCACGCCGGTCTGATTCCGACTCCTGATGCGGCACGTTGACGTCTTATTTAAACAAGATAATGACATGGGATTAGGCTGCAGCAGAGAATCTGACTTTTAGTCTAGCGGGCGACTCTAGGAACAGAAAGTATCAACGCTATGCGATGTACAACAAAGCACCATTCTGCTCTTTTCAAAGTCTAAATAAACACCACTTTGAGATTTTAATCACAACCTGTGTGTTTTTCATTCAAGGATTCAAAGGAGATGCAATTTCAAAGTGTAGAACAAAGAAAAAAACACATTTGCTGCTTATATCTCCATCTGATTCGACAGTGAACGCCCGCTTTAGATTGACAGTTGAGTCATACATGGAAAGATATGCATAGACGAAAACACAGGTGGTTTAACACAACAATTTGAGCGCTTTCGGCCTTGATTGGTCAGATCAGAGACTCACAAAAGTGCACGCCGGAGACTTGCATATTGCCAGACATTATATTCAAACATAATTAAGGCACAAGCAGCGTCTCATATTTCACATACTGCAATCTCATGCAATCTCCTTCGCTATAAAGCTTGTTGCACATTGCATACAGTATAAAAAGGTTGCAATTACAAGCAAACAATTGGATTTCTAATTATATTTACAATGCAAACACTGACACCTTTTTTATAAACTACTTCTGTGGTTTTCAATACGCAGAGGTTCTTTCAGCAGTTTTCAGTTGCGAATACCAAGCATGACAAAGTTTTCAAGCAAAAAGAAATGGTCATCTACAAATATTAGTGTGTAATTGCTGAGCAACATGACAATCACAGCCAATTAGAAGTTCTGAATTTTGTCCCAATTAAATTCACAGTGGGCAGAGCAACACAGCGAATAGAAATTGAAACCAAAAAAAAAAAAAACTTTAATGATTTAAATTATAGTTGCATTACATCGCCAGTTGCAGCTAAACCATTTAAATCAAATATTTTGATGAGGTCTTCACTATTTTAAATGATCATTAGGCTTGAGAAGTATTTGTGGTGTATTTTATTATTTTAATCTCTTTCTCTAATAAGGTATTCTATTTCTCTTCTCTTCTATTGTTGTATTGAACTGTATACTATATCTTATATGTATTTTAAAAATGCTTTACACATGAATTTGGTTTTCAGTTTTGGTTTTAAATAAATTAAAATGTAGTTTCTATATTCATCTTCCATTATTCTTCATAAAAATGCCATTTATTATTTTTCTTTATATCCTCTTGTCTTATAATACACAAGATGCAGCTAAACACAAACACAGACATACAGACTACCACTCCTGTATAATGGCAACAAGAATGTTGCACACACAGCAGGTTATTTCCTTGGTGCCATGCAACAACATTGCAAAGCAAATTGAGCCTTGGCATACAGTACACGGATAACCAATTTCAACTCCACTAAACTTGATTGTTGGAGTCTGATAATGTACAGGCAGCAAAATTATTAAGAGCTAAAAGCTCACAGCAAGATGGTGAATAGAGGAAGGAGGAAGGCCTGGTATTCTGTGTCAAAAGCTTCTCAGACCGAGGAGGATGAAGGCAAGTCAGAGCTCCACACTGTGTCACGTGGTGTTAGACTCGCAAATTGTGTATATGGAGGCAGAAAGGGAAAATGCAACAAGCAATCATTACAGTAAATTGCCTTGGCCATTTTTTTTATTCAGATGTAGTTTTGTCAAGCAGTGCAGAACTGGTGAGGGAGCATTTACCGCATATAGCTTTGAGAATAGAAGATTTGAACATTTGCTCGTGGGCCAAATTGGCTAGATACACATTCAGTGTAACTTTTTGAGGACATCTTATATAAGCATTCCACCTCTTGTTGGACAAAAAATGCTTATATACAGTATGTATATATATATATATATATATATATATACACGCTGGGGACGCTGTATTTTTACAAATAATTAAACTGTTGTCAAGTTGATATTGTGACTTCATAAATGATCATATACTTGCATGTGTCATCATTTTATTAACAAAATCAAGCTCAAATTATTTATTTATTGTAGCTGTAGCTTTGTAAGCACTCCATTTTTTCTGTCAGTTGGCCAAAATCTCATAAAAAGTTATAAAAAGATGAAGTGCTATGCGCAGGTTATTTAAGGCAGTATTGCCTATGATGATTCGACGGCAAGACTAAGACACTATTCTTCGCTCCTCAAATACATTAAAAATTTGCCTTTATATTGTTTCTTGAATTAAGAAAATGCTGTTCTTATTGAGACAACTAGTTCTTTATTTTCCGTTGCTTTGCAGACAAGCAGTGACGCTTCAAACTGCGAGCGGCACTTCATTCAAGATTCAAGAAGCAATTGGAGTAAAGAGGTTTGACCAACAGTTTAAGGAGCCAATGGAGTTACGAGGTTAAGTCACAAGCTGTTTTTAATACTTTTCATTGGTTAAATATTTAACACAGTCTCATCCCAAGACGTCATATGACTGACGCTTTTGACCATTCGTCAACATCCGACGTTTTACGATCCTAGGGCGTCATCTATCTGACGCTTTACCTTTAGCGTCAGTTAGATGACGCGGGTAGGTTTAGGTCTGGGGTAGGGTTAGGATTAGATAGCGTCATCTAACTGACGTTAAAGGGTACCCTAAAACGTCGGATGTTGACGTGTGGTCAAAAGCGTCAGTCATATGACGTCTTGGGATGAGACTGGGCTGAAATATTAGCAAAATCCACAGACAGACGTAGGGTGACCAGACGTTTACAGCGATTGTGCCACGTCTCGAAGATTTTTTAGCATCTTGCACATGAGCGCCATATTTTCAAGACGCCATGTCATGCTAAAAATGTTCAAATTAAAAAAGCTTCTCAAAAACACGTCCTTTCAGCAGCATTGAGCATCTGCAGTTGGTTAATATTCTCTGGTGTGTGAACTCTCTAAATATAAGAGATATACAAAAGTAGAGCCAGTTTCAGTGACAGCAAATATTAAAAAATATCTGACGAGGTGATGGAGTGAATGACCAATCAAAATAAAAAAGTTCCCCACAGTCTGAAATAAAAGTTTGATTTGTATTAAGATGCATTTTTTTTTATTTTTGCACCGATTCTTTAAAATTGGTTTGCACAGGAAAAAGGTGAGGTAAAAAAAAGTGAAACTCCAACAACACTTCCTAATAATGATAAAATAAAAATTAGAAAATGTAAATAAGAACATCTCATTCCAACTCTTTCTGTTTATTTCTCTTTAATGTTAAATCTGTAAACTACTTTACATGATCAAATACACATTAACTGAAAAATTCCTGAATTGTCAGATGAAAAGATTACTTTAAAAGTCTAAGGGGAAAAACAGATGTCACTTTTAACCCACATACATTGCAGGATTATCTATGAATGTTTGGGTGAAGCTAGGATACCATAGCCTGGTTAAAACCAGACCATTCTCAGTTGTAACTGAGTTATGCTCTGGCAAAGCGTCATAGACAAATCATTTCCAGAGGGGCGTCACCAACGGACGTCGCGGATATACCTAAAACCAATCAGAGCGATGAAAGAGATGACGTATGCAGAGCGGCGGAAAAAACATCTCCGAGTGTTGTTCTTTGCTCGGTTTTTAACAAAAAGGAAACGTTCAAATCGCTTAAAACAGACGCGATAGCTGATTCGAACGAGTGATGTTCGACGGCGGCCATCTTTGTAATGTAGGCTACAAAATTTGCTTCAAAATCCCAGCGCTGTCGTCATCGTGTAAAGCCCGCCCCAACGTTTCTGATTGGTGCCGCGATTTCGGCGGATTGGAAATGGGCTTGAATGAGCTCTTTGCCAGACTAACTTTCAGAGCAAATCTAAATTTGCCGGAAGTTGTCTGGGTTTTCCCAGGCTAAGGATACCATGTAACATTTTTGAAAGTGTGGTGTAGTTTAGCTTAAGGCTAATATAATGTCAATGTCAAAGCAGTTTAAATTTGCTTCTCCCAATTTTGCCAAACTTTTTTTGTATTTGTACCTTTGCACAAATACGCTTGTGCTTTGATATGTTGTTAACGGCAAAGCTATGGACAAAGGATTTGGTATAATGACTCGTAGGTTTCATTACAAAGTTAAGATTAAACACCTTAGTACATGGAAGCTTGTTTACGTCATGGAATAAAACATTTTTTAAAAGATAATTGTGACTTTTTATCTTGTAATTCTGTCTTTTTTCTCAGAATTTCGAGATATAAACTCGCTATTGCGAGCTATAAAGTCCGATTCTGATGGGGAAAAAATACTTTTTTCTCAGAATTTCCATATTATATCTTGCAATTCTGACTGTATAACTTGCAATTGCTAGTTTATATCACCCAATTCTGAGAAAAAAAGCCAGAATTGGGAGATATAAACTCGCAATTGCTAGAAGTCACAATTACCTTTTTTTTTTATTCAGTGGTGGAAACAAGCTTCCATTAGTGTGATCAGGTAAATGCATATAAGACCTTTCTGTTTCAAAATGTACCTTTGAAATCCATAAGGTGAAAAACCCAGGCACTTGACAGTACGAGTGAATACAAGAAATCCATCTCCTCCGATCACTCACCAACAAAAACTAATCTGTAAAAATAAGACAGAAAGGTACATTTGTAAAGACGCACGTACACATACACGCAGTTACCGCACTTAAGAAGGTCAAACATTACAATGACTCCTTGATTTTTTTCTCTTTTTTACCTTCACTCTCCATTTAAGCGCTCCCTTTGAATAAGTTCAAGTTTTCAGAGAGAACCTTAGGAACACTTCAAAGTGAAGCCCAGGGAGTGTTTCTATACTGCATGGAAAGAGCTCTCTCGGGTTCACGGCCATTACGCCACGCTTTAGCCTCCTCCAGTACTCCCTATCTCTCTCTTTTAAAGCCAATAGCGCTTGCATTTCAAGTCAGGTTGCAATCTCTTCAAATTACCAACCACACTGGAACAAATAATAGTGATTTACTTAATTAAAAACTAAACATTTTCCCATCTAAATAAACAAAAGAAATTGAAAGCGCTGGCTCCTTGAGGCATCTCCCTCGGTCCATTAGTTGCAGTCCAATGGGCTTTGATAGGAATTAACTCACACTCAATTATCCTCTGTGCCCGCAAACAGTCCCAGACGCCAAAATGTGAATGCGCCGACTGCAATCTCCCTCCTCGCAACCGTGAATGGATGGAGGGCTTTCAACCGGAGAGTACGCAAGCTGTATTTAGACATTCTTTAAACATATCCCTTCATTTTCTCTGTCTGTCTTCTTTCGTCACATGCGCCCACAGACATTTTTAGCCTTTCATCAGTACTGGGGCACTGGCTGCCAGCGACCCTGCAAAAATACTATACTATAAGACTATTCAATACATTGTGAGAAGCATTTTTGCATATTCTTGAGTACTGGGTCTTTTCTAGGTAAGTACATTTTTGTAGGATTGCATTGTGTCATCTCAAGCCAAACTGATTATATCAGTTTATGTTGGAATATATTTATGCCTTCAGAAAGGTAACTGTTATTTTTGTTTAATTCAATGCTCAAGTTTGTAGAACGACAAGGTGCTTCGATGCGGAAATGTCTGCATTCAAAATCATAACAGTTTTGCAAACATAAGAAAAGAGCAGACTTGAACTTGTTCTTGGAAATTTCACTTCTTGATAGAATGATTCTGCTAATATGACAGCTTTAGGGAATTTTTCATAACTCACATTTTTTTTTATATTTTTAAAGGTACACTGTTAAGTAAAATCAAAAATACAATACCGTTCAGTTTGGGGTCAGTAAAGGTGGTGGCAGTTTGGCTCTTTTCTGGCTGACATCTGGGGAATCTGGCACTGTTGTGGGCCAGTTATGGCTGATTTCTGGGGATATGGAAGAAGTTGTGAGTGAGTTTTGGTCTGCTTCCGGCATGGATCTGGTTTACTTTCGGCAAGTAGCTTTTGGGCCAATCTCGGGCCGTAACTCCATGTGGTATGTGGGCCAAACTCACAGCCGAAATTCAACCAGATTCGGCCCAATATCAATATGCTATCTGGGCAAGATTTTAATTAATGCATTAAATGGATAAAAAAGTGATGGTAAACACTTTTGTAATGTCACATTACAAAATAAACGTTTTATTCAAGCAAAGAATCCTGAAAAGAAATGTGTTCCATAAAAATGTTAAGCAGAACAATGGTTTTCATCATTATAATAATAATAAGCTTTTTTTTTTTGAGTATATATTATAATGGTTTCATCACAATAATAAACAAATTACAATATTTCACAATATTACTGATTTTTACAATACCTTGATCAAATAAATTCAGTCCTGGTGAGCATAATAGATTTATTTCTAAAACATAAATCTTACCGACCCCAAACTTTTGAATGGTAGAGAGAATATGTATATAGAGAAAGAATGAAGACAAAACATGTCAAATGTAACAGAACTTCTATATGATGAGCACATCTTTTGCAGAATGCCCCAAATGGCTACTAGGCTACTACAGGTCAGTATAATCACATCTTTCTACATTTCTTCACAGTGTATTAAGTAACCTTTGACCTCTTAAGCTCCTAAGCTTAAAGGGTTAGTTCACCCAAAAATGAAAATTCTGTCAGTAATTACTCACCCTCATGTTGTTCCAACCCCGTAAGATTTCGTTCATCTTCGGAACACAAATTAAGATATTTTAACGATGTCTTCCATAACACTCGGACTATTTTAACGATGTCTTCCATAACTTTTGGGCCGGCCAGTTTCGATCCCTTAATAAGCCTATGGAGGAGTGATCCAGCTCTCAGATTTAATCAAAAATATCTTAATTTGTGTTCCGAAGATGAACGAAAGTCTTACGGGGTTGGAACAACATAGGGGTGAGTAATTACTGACAATTTTTATTTTTGGGTGAACTAACCCTTTAACATCAAATTTAACTGGAGTATTTGGTGGATGCGACCAGAGCTAAAAAAAAAACCCAGATATCAAATTCATAGGGCAAGAAACAAGAGTCTAGTGCCACCCATGGATGTGTTGCTAACGTTTTTCTCTTTCTTATTCTAATGTTCCCTGAGTGTGCCGAGGACTAATCAAAAGAGAAACTCACAGTTTTTGTACTGACTTTCACTGCTGTGCTAGTCACTGCTCGTTTGGAAAATTAACTTCTCTTCTTTTCTTTTTGACACAAACCTTATTTTTGTGCGTCTGAGGAAGGTGTCGGAGCTCTGTCAGGGTGATGCGATAAGATGCGATGTCAGGGTGATTTAGAGTTATAACTGGAGTATGGAGCTCTTCTGAATGACTCAGCGGTTCCTGTCCAGGTCTTTAATGAGATGTTCTTCAGGCCTGTCTAACCTCCCTTTTCCTTCATCTCTAAAAGACAAACAAGTACCTTAATTGCAGGGGGGGGGGGAATCAACATGGCACAGGAAAAGGAAATTAATTAATGTTTTTTTTCGTGTTTTCATGTCTTGTCAAGTTGTGGTACTGCAACACTGGTGTTAAATTTACCTGATCAGACAAGGAAAGGAAGAGAAAAAAACAGCTTGGGTTTAATTTACAATTAATCAAGATAAATTTCAGGTATGACTATGAAAAGACCTGAAAAACAAAATGGACTAAAAGTAAAGGCAAATTAAAAATGGTTTGGCATAGAAACCGAAACAGTTAAATGTCAAACCATATATTATTATATTATTATTATTTTCTTTTTTTATCATGACAACTCTCGGAATAGAACTAACGGGGATTTTATTGATAAGAATGGAATATACATAGGCCTTGTCTTGACAGACTAGATCTGCTATCCTACTGGTATGAGTGAAGGCTTCTGCCGAAACATGCACATAAATACAGTGAGTAGGAAATGAGAGCTGCTGTGAGGAAACTAGTGAGAACCCCCTAGCAAATCTAGGCAGGTGGTGCTGGGGAAGGCGGGGGACTACCCCGCACTTGACTTACTAAGTCAACATTCGTTCCCTCATTTTAAGTAAATTGTGCACACAATATAATACGTTTTTAACTCTTTTTAATATATATATATATATATATATATATATATATATGTATACTCACCTAAAGGATTATTAGGAACACCTGTTCAATTTCTCATTAATGCAATTATCTAATCAACCAATCACATGGCAGTTGCTTCAATGCATTTAGGGGTGTGGTCCTGGTCAAGACAATCTCCTGAACTCCAAACTGGATGTCAGAATGGGAAAGAAAGGTGATTTAAGCAATTTTGAGCGTGGCATGGTTGTTGGTGCCAGACGGGCCGGTCTGAGTATTTCACAATCTGCTCAGTTACTGGGATTTTCACACAAAACCATTTCTAGGGTTTACAAAGAATGGTGTGAAAAGGGAAAAACATCCAGTCCTGTGGGCGAAAATGCCTTGTTGATGCTAGAGGTCAGAGGAGAATGGGTCGACTGATTCAAGCTGATAGAAGAGCAACTTTGACTGAAATTACCACTCGTTACAACCGAGGTATTAGCAAAGCATTTGTGAAGCCACAACACGCACAACCTTGAGGCGGATGGGCTACAACAGCAGAAGACCCCACCGGGTACCACTCATCTCCACTACAAATAGGAAAAAGAGGCTACAATTTGCAAGAGCTCACCAAAATTGGACAGTTGAAGACTGGAAAAATGTTGCCTGGTCTGATGAGTCTCGATTTCTGTTGAGACATTCAGATGGTAGAGTCAGAATTTGGCGTAAACAGAATGAGAACATGGATCCATCATGCCTTGTTACCACTGTGCAGGCTGGTGGTGGTGGTGTAATGGTGTGGGGGATGTTTTCTTGGCACACTTTAGGCCCCTTAGTGCCAATTGGGCATTGTTTAAATGCCACGGCCTACCTGAGCATTGTTTCTGACCATGTCCATCCCTTTATGGCCACCATGTACCCATCCTCTGATGGCTACTTCCAGCAGGATAATGCACCATGTCACAAAGCTCAAATCATTTCAAATTGGTTTCTTGAACATGACAATGAGTTCACTGTACTAAAATGGCCCCCAATGCAGTCACCAGATCTCAACCCAATAGAACATCTTGTGGTGGAACGGGAGCTTCGTGCCCTGGATGTGCATCCCACAAATCTCCATCAACTGCAAGATGCTATCCTATCAATATGGGCCAACATTTCTAAAGAATGCTTTCAGCACCTTGTTGAATCAATGCCACGTAGAATTAAGGCAGTTCTGAGGCGAAAGGGGGTCAAACACAGTATTAGTATGGTGTTCCTAATAATCCTTTAGGTGAGTGTGTATATATTTATATATATATATATATATATATATATATATATATTTATACAGAATCAGTGTATATATGTATATATATATATATATATATATAAGTGTTTTTTTTTATATCATGTTTTTTTTCCTATATGTAATATTGACACACTAATGTCTCTCAGAATAAGAATAACCATTTCTCTTGTTAGATTGAACAGCTAATCTGTGCACATACAGGCTGCTCCATCGGCATGTCAATATGATTCCTGCATGCTGTCGTGGATGTCATTGTACTCAGTGACAAGTGATGCTTGTGTTGCAATTTGTTTACATCTCATATTATGTCCTTGTCAGTCTCCTTGTTTCTTCAGAAGAGTGAAAGTTGAAATATATTAAATTCGATTCCCTGTGGGTAGAAACACGGTAGGGTTTCTGGCTGGGCCGGAGAGGCATCACAGACAGTGACCCTTTCAGGTAAATTTTTTTATTTTTTATTATTATTATTACATCATCAAACAACCCTACACTCAAGCCTGTACCTATTTGATGCAAAAACAGCATGAAATTTCCCAATGTGCAGAAAATGAGATCGGCTCTCTACTCTCCGACTGGGACATGCAGATGTTTTTGCAAATTTTAAAACCAGCATCTCCTGGGTTGGTAGAGCTCAGGTATACCTATAGATACATGCATATTACGGTTAAAAAAATTGGGGTGTTTTAATGTTTAAAAAATGTAATGTTTTTGAAAGAAGTTTCTTAAACTCACTCAGGCAGCATTTATTTGATCAATAATACATCAAAAACAGTAATATTGTGAAATATTATTACGATTTAAAACAATTGTTTTCTATTTAAATATATTTTAAAATGTAATTTATTCCTGTGATGATTTTTTACCATTACCATTGCTTTGTTGCTCAAGAAACATATGATCAATGAAAACATCTGTTTAATTTCCACATCTGTTGAAAATGCCATCTTAAAATCTTGGTGACAAATATGAACACTTCAACGAAGACAAAAACACTCAGATAGGAAGCCATCAACAGATTCCGGGATTATTCTGGTAAAATGGAAGAATTTTAAGGCCACTAATGGATTTCACCCACTTTTAGCTTCCTGAGGCAGCAGCACTATTAAAATGCTCTTTGTTTTGACTCTTTGTCATACCGTTTCAACTTAGTATCGCAGCTTCCACACAGAAATACTTCTCCGTCTCTCCCTCATCCATCCCCTTGACACAGAAGTCAACTTAAAACTGACAAGGGAGAGAGAGTGAGACAACGGCCTTCTTTCAAGCCTCCATCTCCTCACTTTTACTTGTCTTAAAGCCAAAAGAGAAATGGGGAAAAGAGGAACCGTATAAAAAAGGTGTCTTTGAGCTTGATAAAACACTTGCATATGAGAGAACGCAGCTTACCTGTTGAGCTTCACCGCTTGCCTTTGTCTCGCCTCATGTGGAGGTTCTTCTCAGAAGACGTTCACCAGTTATGGTGAAGAAATGCCAGTGGGGCTCCCCTACACACATTCCCCTCGTCCTGACGGTTTCTTAACAACTTGACGGCATTGGAGGAGTGATACAAGGGAGGATGAGTGAATGGAAATGAGATGAGCAAACTGCTGACTGTAAAAAAGCAGAGGAACACTTGTAATGTGGCACTGCATCTGTCCTTTCACCTCATCATATTCAGCCATTGGCGAGCATTTAATGAGCTTTAACGGAACTACAGAAGGGTGCTAACTGCTAACACAGGACACGGCCTTTCAAATGGACTACATCTAGAACAACACTGCCATTTTTTTCCTTTTCTAATTCATTTCTTGTACTTTTTCGCTCTGTTTGTATGTTGAGGGACCGTGGTACCCTTGTCGACACTGAAGTGAACGCTGCAGTCTCCACAGCGACCAGTTTTGTAACATTTATGCTCATGCATAATAAATAGTGCACAGTCTTTTCACTTTATTTTATATACTGAACACTCCTTAGGGGCCTTTGCTTCTCTCACTGCGCACAGCAACAGATTTTTACACAGAATTCATTTTCCACAACTGAATATTTGATTGTCTGCTGAAAATCGTTGTCACCCCCCCTCTACAGTTTTTCTATTTTTTTGTTATTATTATATGCCACCTAATGGAAACCCGAGACATGGATTTACTCACTGGTGACGCCACCAAGAAAAAGCAGTTGGAATTTTGAGTGATTCTAGACAATGGATAAAGATTTTTCTTCTTTAGGAAAATCTACTTCTAAACAAAGAATAAGGGTCAATAGCCATGGCTCGTCTCATCTTCTGCAGAATTTTGCATTCGCGGGCATTCAGGGACGCTGCGTTTATACACAATGGATTTTTAAAGCTTGTATACGTATGCATTACAGTGGTTATATAAAGAAACTGTATATCTTATAATAACTATAAGTTTCTCTAAGTTATATATACTGTACATAGATCTATTCTTCGCTGTCTGTTATATCCCACAATCCTATGCGTTCCATCACCTCACTCGGATCCCAGTCACTTCTAATCCCAGCCACCTGTTATCAATCACCGCACTCAATCACTCCTCCATATACAGCAATCACACTCCCTGCACTCTGTCATTTGTCTGGTCTCAACTTGGACTATGGATTACTTTGTATTTCTTACCTGCAAATATTACCTCCTGTGATTCCCAAGTTCCTGTCTCCTTGCTCCTCCGTCTTTTCCTCTTCTATAGAGTTCTCTTCAGCGTTTCATCAAGACCTGTAAGACAAACAGCCCTATTTTAACGATCTAAGCGCACGGCGTAAGTACACTTAGGGACTATCCGAATCCACTTTTGCTAGTTTAATGACTGGAAAAATGGTTGGCACGCCCAGTGCATGGTCTAAAAGGGTTGTCCCTATTCTCTTAAATTACAAAAAATAATAATACTGCACCATTGACCAACAAAAACCTGGTCTAAAGACAATGGTGCAATATTTTTTTTTGTCTCAAAGGTGCGCCTGGACACACCTCGTTTTCAGACCAGCACGCCCATGGGTGCACAAATGGGCGCAAATGCATTTGCTATTTAAACAACGTGGCGCAGGACGTGAAAAAGATAACTGCGTCGGGCTGAAACTAGCTAAAAACACTTGCGTCACACCTGGCGCCGCATTGCACCGCGTGTATGATAGGGCCCTAAGACTTTGATAACTATTCAGCCTGCTAAATGACAACTAAAAGGTGTGTGGATTTAGACACCAAGTTTCGTACGATTCCGACAATTTTTTTTTTAAATATAAAAATGGTATGTTTTGGTTTTTTAGATCAAAAATAACCAAAGAGAATCAGAGGGTTTTCTTGACAAGAGAAGGTCATCAAGGCCATCAATTTTGTTCGATGATCAAATCCTCACAACAACTACATGGAGAAATGTAATTTATTCTCTAGATCTATTAATAAACTAAACCATCTTTCGTAAAAGACATTTATTCCTACAAGGTCTTACATAAAAGCGTTTTCACTGTATCTGGGAGATTTGAGAAGTGCATTGAATCTGAATGTGTAAAGAGTAAGAAGTAAAGTTCAGTCACAAGAGACAGATCATAGATTTAAGCTGAACTCTAAAACCCTGGGTGTAGTGTTCTTATAACTGTATGTGCCTCTATCAAGGCCGTGGCCTTCAACAACACACACAGATCTACATGCACGCATACAACCGACACACACAGTGAGACGTGCTTTATAAGTGGAAAGAGGCATGGGGTAGGTGCTTCATAGAGAGCTGGAGAGACAGATGTGAACAGCTGGGGCCTGTTGCTCAGTCATTATGTAGAGTGGCCCCTAGGCACAGGTTAATATGTATACACACACACCCAAACACACACACATATGCAAATGCAGGCACATGCATTGCACAACAGCATAAAAACCTTACTAATCAACTTGCACACAGTCTAAGTGAAAAAAATAAAACTAAAATGACAAAAAAAATGTCCCCCATTATTTTGCTGCCTGTCTTTAAAGGGGTTCTTAACCACTGGCAAAATGGGCTTTCAGTAAACCGTGGCTGCCTATGCAGAGAGGCAGGGGAAATTTGAAATCTGTGCTTCAAACTTCAACACCCATAATGCACTGGGCATGTTGCCGTCCAAGGCCATTTCCACCAGTCTGCTAGGGATACACTTACCCGAGTCAAATACTGTCTTGTTTCAGTAGAAAATACTTCTCAGCGAACTTTTAGTCATAATGGTGTCGACTTGTATTGTTCCAGGGTGCAAGAATTCAAAGAGTAAATAGCGGGAGTGAGTTACTTTCGGTTTCCAGTGAAGGATTCAGTGTGTTGTAGGCAGTGGTTAAAGGGTTAGTTCACCCAAAAATGAAAATTCTGTCAGTAATTACTCACCCTCATGTTGTTCCAACCCCGTAAGACCTTCGTTCATCTTCGGAACACGAATTAAGATATTTTTGATGAAATCTGACAGCTGGATCACTCCTCCATACTAGTACATAGGCTTCTTCAGGGATTGAACTTGCCGGCCTCGAAAAGTTATTAAAGACATTGTTAAAATACTCCAAGTGACTACAGTGGCTCAATCTTAAGTTTATCAAGCGACGAGAAGGTCTTACGGGGTTGGAACAACATGAGGGTGAGTAATTACTGACAGAATTTTCATTTTTGGGTGAACTATCCCTTTAAAGGCTGCAACGAGTCGTAAAAATACACAGAGAACGCTGCGACAGAAAATCTGAATAACATCAGTGTTTGTAGTCGACATTTCAAACTGGATGAGCAGAAACAGTGTTTTATATGGAGGGGAAATATAAAAGAAACTGTCATTCTGTCAGTTTCGCCCAACCCACCACTTAATTCTACTGCCCTCTGCGTGCACCAGCATGATGTTAGATGATGACATCGATGCGGCTAAATTCAATAATATATAATTATACCGCGTTTTATCGTTTCTGCGGATCCGTGTGAACGGGAATCATTTTGATAATGTTTTCATCTGTACAGAGGAAAAAAAACATTTGTCGTGAAAAGAGCCCTTTTGTCGCGTCGATGAGGCCTTCGCAGGGGATAACACTTCAGGACTGCGTTGTGGTCGTGTCTAGACACAGGTCTTTCATCTGATCTGGATACGGCCTTGATACGGCTGACTATGCTAAACCTCGGGGTAAACAGAGAGACTAATATTAGCGTAGATGCAATTCTTTTTATGATGCAAGGAGTACATCAGGTGTTATGGGAAGTGTTCCTGGTTCCGGCGCGAAATGTTTGCACTGTTTCCTCTACAAAATATATGCTGTATATAAATATATATATTAGGGCTGTCAGTTAAACGCGTTATTAACGGCGTTAACGCAAACCCATTTTAACGGCGTTAATTTTTTTATCGCGCGATTAACGGTCTTTTTGGCCTAGCAAACTTTGTAGGTTTTTTTTCACATGCTTTTGCAACAGGACGGCATGCGGGCCGCTGCGCTATGAAACCCATTCATTTCAATGGCTTGCGGCGCGCGAGGACGTTTTGAAAGCGCAAGCGGATCTAGCTAGACCGGAAACAAAACAACAGGCACGCCGCACACACTTGTTTGGGCTTGCGAGCCGGATGCGCGAGCGCGAATCTCTCTGCTCGCGCGCGGAATATGTGCCGAGCGCGAATCTCTCTGCTCGCGCGCGGAATATGTGCCGAGCACGAATCTCTCTGCTCGAGTCGCGCGCGCTCTCAGATACACGCTGCTCTTGTAAGAATTTTCTCTGGGCTCACTCAGAGAATATGCCTGCACTTAAAACGTGTTCAGTGCAATCGCGAATCTCTCCTCTTCCCCAGCTAACAATTTTAGGTTATAAGAATGTTTTCATAACGTTCCCATTAAGTTATAAAAACGTTATTTCTGAATGTTATAGGAACGTTCAAAACGTCCAGTTTTGAGTGGATGACGAGCGTGAGACGCCGAAATGGATGCCAATAAGATTCTGAATGGAAAGTTTACTTTTAAAAAGTTGCCAAATGGTTCCATTGACAAGACGAAAGTGATCTGTGTGTTTTGTCGTTGTGAACTGAGCTATCATCATCGCAGCACGTCCAGTCTGAATACCACTTGATGATGGCCAGCACACACACACACACACACACACACACACACACACACACACACACACACACACAGCTGATGCGAATTCTCCGCCCCCTCGTCAATATCAGGACCTCGTCAGTATTTATTTCACCCTTTTATTGATGGACAGTGTTATATTGTGTGAGAGATTATTTGCTCCAAGTGATAATGTTTTAGTGTGAAATTGAACAGTATATGCCAATATTGTTTTCAATAAAAAACATTTGCACAAAGCAAGCCGATCCACTTTTCCATGTTGATAAGAGCATTAAAATGAGAAAAAAATAATGGGACAAAAAGAAATCAAGAGACATTTAGAATAGATAAAAATGTGCGATTAAATGCGATTAATCGCGAGTTAACTATGACATTAATGCGATTAATCGCGATTAAATATTGTAATCGTTTGACAGCACTAATATATATATATATATATATATATATATATATACACTCACCTAAAGGATTATTAGGAACACCATACTAATACTGTGTTTGACCCCCTTTCGCCTTCAGAACTGCCTTAATTCTACGTGGCATTGATTCAACAAGG